ACACATAACAGTGCGGAAAAAGCATTTAATGACACTAAACATCAACTTCGAGTTTTCGGATGATATTGTACCTTCTGAGTACAGGTTTTCGGGCCGGATCTATTCATATGTTCATTTGAACATATGATGAACATATGAATAGGAAAAAGAAATAAAGAAAAGGAAACATCGTGGACAAAAGTTCTGTCTTGCTATTTCGGAAGATTATACTAACGTTAACACATAAGAGAAAAAGTTCTCGTACAGCAATGTGAGACAGAGGATTTGACTAGATTGCTTATGTCCTGTCGTACATTTTGAAAGAAACATCAAATCGATATGTAGTCTGTTTCAAGACTAGACAAGAAAAACAGATAGTTTAACGGGAGAACAACCGACCGGTTTTCGGGAGATATAGGTTCGATTCCTATTCTGCTTTAATGATCCTCTTGGAATAGTCTTTCGTACTATTCAGAGCATATCATTGTGGATATTTGATGAAGTAAGTCGAACGTACACCGATACGTGGACAAGTGAAATGAAAGCAAGTCTCTTCTCTCTTCGAATAATATATCTAACTCACACCCTCACACCCCACCCTTTGACTAAACCGCCTGATGAGTCCGTGAAATTCGGACGAAACCGGTCGCGGTAGTCTATATTTTGAAACTCACACCCTGAAAGAAAAGTTGTTTTTGTGATAATTTCGATAAGTTTCAAACAACAGCTGCGCAAAATTGATACCTCCTTCCTCGGTTAACGTAAGTTTACATAAGATAAAACATGGTAAAAGTAACTTCTTTATTTTTTATTTTGTTGTGTTGTTTGCTCATTTCATTGGGTTAAAACCCTACGAGTAGATGATAACTCACCTTGTGAAACAACAGAAAGTTGCTTTATTTATTTTTGTTTTTGCTCACTGATAACACACGAGCTGATACGTTGAAAGACTCACATAATCTATATATTCATGGCAACATCAGAGCTCACCTTTTGAGTCAAGACAATAAAAATCTGTCACAGACTCAAGACTCTCCGAGTGTTTTCCATCTAGTGCCAGATATTGTTGCATCTTTACTGCCCTTGTTCACGTAAGTTGTGTATTGCAGTTTGACAGGTAAGTTAAAATGAATCCGTATGCATATCCAAACATACATGTTCTTTTTTTTAAATTGTCTTATCACTAGTGATAATTCTGTCACACAAACTGAATGGACTGGTTTCCAGGTATTTCACAACTGAAAAGTGGCTTTCAGTTGTTTTGTGGAGATGTGGAAGGAGCAGCACAGACGCAAAAGAATTTCGTTCGCCAGTGCCCAGGATTTTCACAGGTGAAAAATTTGTTGTATTTTTACTTCCTTTCAAGTATAAACTTCTTTGAATTTCAGGTTACTTCTTTGGTTCAGTTAATTGATGGAGACGAAGAAGGGGCACTCGAGACTCAAGTAAGTGAACACTCTATTTAAACCATTGCGGGTCTAGCAGCAATTACTACCCAAGTATATGTTCCAAACGTTCCCATGGAATAAAATCATTATATGTGGGTCTTAATCTGAAGTAGCCATATTACCATATAACCTGATTAGTGCTTACACTGAGTCGACGCTGTGGAACTTTTAGATGAAAGACTTCACCTCGATACTATGAGAAGTAGAACGCTTCAGCTTTGAAATCTATAGCGAAAACTCTGGTTAGCATTTATGTCCGAACTTTGTCTTTGTGATAACAAAAGAATAAAATCCAGTTTATGATTCACCTAAGTTTGACGAACAGCTAGAATTTTTGTTTGAATATTGATGCACCATACGGCGGTATACGAAGGTAATTCTTTTTCTTTTACTTTCAGAAACAATGTTTTGGAACATTGTCTAACTTTGCAGATGCTATTCCAGTTGTCGGCCATGCGAAAGGTCTTGTTCATTATGCCGTTGGTGATGAAAAGGGTGGTGATAGAGCTATGAAAAGTTCTACTCAAACAATCGGTATGTTTTTTAAGAAACCTTCCGGCAAGTTTTCGCTTTTGCGATATTTTTCCAAATTTTGCAGATAGTATTCCGGTAGTTGGACATGTTAAAGGTCTTATTCATTATGCTGCTGGTGATGAAGGTGGTGGTGAAAGAGCTATGAAAAGTTCTACGCGCACAACAGGTATAGGTTTTTCGAAAAGGTTTCTTAGGCTTTCGTTTTCGCGATATTGTTTTTGCTTTCTTCTCAGCTGTGGTTGGTGCTGGGGCGGGAGCCTTCCTTGTTAGTGGACCTATTGGTGCAGCGGCCGCTGGAGTTGGTGCAGGCGCCGCGATGGATGCCGTGTATACCGCAGCTACTGATAGACCACACGGTTTAATAGCTGCGCTGGATAACTTAGAAAAAACTGGATCTCCAGGTACGTTTTTCTCGGGCGCGTACGATCTTTTCCTTCCATGATAAAGTACACTGAAAAAAAAGGTTTCGTATGAAATCCTTTTTTATCAGAAAAAGGTTTCATGATTTGCAACCATTTTGAAACCCTTTTTAAGTTTCGTATAAAAATACGAAACTCTCAAAAAAGTTCCTGAACATTTGACAAATCTTTGTTGGGTTTCGCAGTGCTGTACGAAACCTTTAAGGGGGGCCCCCTCTCAGAAAAAACAGTTTTTTCGAAAAAAGTCGAAGTTGAGATTTTATCATAGGAAGATGTGTCGAAGTTCGTCTTTCAGAATATATGAACCTTTTTCCCAAAAAGACCAGATTTTAATAAATTTACCAAAGGAGATTGGGATCCTACTATTATGTTTTTTGAGACATTTTCGGAATTTTTTCAGTTTTTGAAAGGCACTGCTTTTCCATATTAATACATTGTATTAAAAAACCAAATTATACTAGAAGATGCAGCGTGAAAAGTTCTACAGTTTAGAAAGAACATCGGATTTTATATATGCATCTTTTATTTTCAAAATGGACAAAATTCTGAAACTATACCATTTTAATAATTTTTTCCGATTTTGAATAAAAAAATTCATTTTTAAATTTGTTTTTCGTTTTTCTCAAAATCAATTTTTTCGACCATACTGTTTACGCGGGGAAGGATTTCTTAATAACGACTCGATATAGAAGTGATAATTTTTTTTAATGTATAGTAGGCAGTTAGGGCTAGATCCTCACGATCTCCGATTTTTAAATTTCACTTTTGCTAAAATAAAAAACTTAGATATTTCATTTTTATTAGCGCTTTGAATTTGAACATTTTTCAAAAAAGTATTTTTTAAAATCAAACAAAGAGAAATTTAAAAATCGGAGATCGTGAGGATCTAGCCCTTAAGGCACTCTACAAGTTAAAACCACCCCGACATGATTAGCTTGTAATCCCATTGTGAAAACCTTCTCCTCGTAAAGGATACTTTTGACCAATAAATTGACTGTAACTCATTCGTTTCTTAGAGATTTGGGAAGATATTTTAACCACAGTCTCCCCTAGCTAAGACTAACATTCTCTGAAATTTTCGTTGAAATCGGGTGAAAAATGACAAAATTAGTTTCTGAGGGGGCCTCCTTAACAAAATTTCCCGGATTTCTGCTAAACCTTTATAAGAGTTTCGTATACCACTACAAAATTCCCATTTTTTGTTGAGAGTTTCGTACAGCACTGCGAAACCCAACAAAGACTTGTCAAGTGTCCAGGAACCTTTTTAAAAAAGGGTTTCAAATTGGTTGCAAATCATGAAACCCTTTTCTGATAAAAAAAGATTTCATACGACACCTTTTTTTTCAGTGTAAAGTTGCTTTCTTTTTCTAAGGGGAATTTTTCGATTCGGGTGTAATGCAAATATTAGGAGATGCGAGTATGGGAATGGTTAGTGGCGACTTAACCAAAAATATCCCAGATAGCCTTCAGTCGAAAAAAGCAACAAATCAATACTTTAGTGAAAGCAAATCGAAAACATCAGCTGCTGAACAGAATGCTCAATCGCTACCTCCAGCTAAACCAAATACTCAATCACTAACTCCAGCTGAACAAGTGCAACTAAAAAATGCTGAAGTGACTAGTTACAAAGCAAAACGGGCGATGGATCATGTTGATAAGAATCAACTTAATTTTAAACAAGAACAACAATATTTAGATAGAATGAAGACATTATATAATGAATATTCAATTGCAGAAAGAGGCGTAGGTGAACTGTCTAGTAAGTAAAGGCTTAAAACAGTTATATTTGGAAGTTTTTCGCAAATTCGCCGTTCAGCTTCTTGAAATCGGAGACCTGAAGTCCAGTCAAGGAATTACATACGAAGAACTTGCACTATATTTAGCACCCTGTATCAGCATTTTAAGATCTTCTAAATAATAAGTCTTGCTCAACCGAAAAACCAATAACCCTTATCGCAAACTGAGGATTTTCAAATTGATGTAAACAGGACAAAAATTATGTCTCACAGCCAACAGTTCTTTTAAAAATCTTACTACTAGACGTGGCTAAAGTATCCGCAACTGTAAATAGCAATTCTCTAGTTGGATAAAAATATATCGGAGCGCGACTGACTCATCTTTAAGAGATTTGTGACTAGTGGCAGTCCCATGCTCGATGTCCAAAATGCATTAGATTCATTTTAGTCTAAAAACGATACGGGGAGAAAAATTGTGAATAAAAAAATACTTACTTGCTTGATGCGGCGAGTAAATTAATGAAATCTCTTGGCCATGTTTTTGCTATAACATTTTGAGGAAAATCAATTCTATATGTCCGTATTTTTTCCGTACCTTTCGGATAGTCTAAACCTCAAACTTTTTATTTCGTGAGTTGTTCGAACCGAAATATCTGAAGCGGTAGAAACACGCAAGTAAAGCTCTTATTGCTTGACCTAAGTTAGGTGTTGACCTAAACGGGCGAATAATTCCGCTGACAAAACTGTAAACAAGAAGAAGCTAGTTTTTTGGGAAAAGAAGTGGCTTAAAAGAAGTCAGCCATTTGTGGCAAAAAATAACCTTAAAAGGTTCCTCCGAGTTCAAGTTTTCTGTAAAGGGAAAGAATTAAAGAATCTTATATCTCCTGTCCTGGTCTGATCTAAAAAGAGGAATTGTTTCTGTTAATGCTGTGAGAGATGCTCCGCCATAAGACCAAGGTCGACATTCTTCGCATTAACTTGAGCAATTGCTCTTTCTAGATCAGACAGGGGGGGCCTAACCCCCACCAGGCGCGTCCCTCTGGTAGCGGATGAGGGAAGCCCTAAAGGGTTGCTCTGAATAATGAATAAAGGGCCGTGGACCAAAGGGTTAGAGCAGGCAACGGGAAAACCACTCTAACTAATTCTTTCGAGCAAATATAACATTTGGCAAGGGGGTTTGCGTATGTCAAAGAAGCTGAGAGCTAAGTCATCAAGAGTTTATAACTCTTAATAGGGTCACCCATGATGGACAGGTCAATGTGGAGACATCAGACTAAACTCAATCCAAACAAACCTACAGGGCAGCAGCAGTAGGGGATAATACCAACAACATATGATTTATCAGTGGAGTTGGGCTGTGTTAGAGAAGGAAATGGCAAACCACTCTAGAATTATGCCAAGAAAACCCAATGGAAAATAGAAATAAGCAGACTAAACACGACATGGTACTGGAAGATGAGACCCTCAGGTCTGAAGGTACCCAACAAGTTACTGGGGCAGAGTTAAGGAAGCGTACGAGTAGCACTAAACCTAGTGATGCAACTAAATCAAAGCCGAAAGGACGTTTAAATGCGGATGTGTATAGATGCAAAAGGAAAATCCGAAGTTGCTTAGAGACACATACTACAGGAACATGGAACGTTAGAACAATGAATCAAGGAAAGCTTGATATAGTTAAATCAGAAATGGTACGGTTAAATATAGGTATTCTAGGTATCAGTGAGTTAAAATGGACAGGAATAGGTCATTTCACATCAGATGAACACGAAATATACTACTCAGGAAACCCAGATAAAAGGAAGAATGGGGTAGCCATCATTGTAGGAAAGAAGGTTACTGAGGCTGTTCTTGGATACAACCCAAAGAATGAAAGAATGATCCCAGTTAGAATTCAAGGCTCTACTATAAACAACACCATCATACAGATATATGCACCAACTACAGAAGCTGAAGAAGAAGATACAAACAAATTCTATGATGAACTACAGCAGATGATGGAAACAACTCCTAAAAAAGATGCAATATTCATCATCGGAGATTGGAATGCTAAGGTTGGAAACAAACCAGAAACAGATATTTGTGGGAAATTTGGGCTAGGCATTAGGAATGAAGCTGGAGATAGATTAGTAGAGTTTTGTCAAGAGAACTCACTATTCATAGCGAATACATGGTTTGAGCAACCCAAGAGACGGCTCTATACATGGACATTACCAAATGGTCAACACCGAATCAAATTGACTATATCATCTGCAGTCAAAGATGGAGAAGCTCAATCGAATCAGCTAAAACAAGAACAGGGGCAGATTGCGGTACTGATCATGAGCTTTTATTATCCACATTCCGATTCAAGCTAAGGAGGAAGGCTAGAACCATCAGATCGATAAGATACGATGTTAACAACATTCCTTCAGAATACACAGTTAAGGTGAAGAATCGTTTTGATGGATTGGATCTAATAGGTAGGCAACCTATAGAACTCTGGGAGGAAATGAAAAACATCATATCCGAAGAAGCGAAGGTAAACGTTCCTACCTGCAAAAGAAATAAAAAGGCTAAATGGCTGACTACAGATCAAGGGGGAAACAGCGGACTCCAGACTTCAACACGCCAGCTGGCTTCACTTGACTCCAAATGACTTCAATTGATTTCAACTGACTTCAACTGACTCCAGACAAGTCATATCTGACCGAGTCTATTGGCCTTTTTTT